CACACACACACCCCAGGAGTTTTTTTTTCTAAGAGTCTGATCCAGCAGGAGGAACTGAGTTTTTATCCGGTCACTGCCGCGGCGCGTAAAACCATCCGGTACCGACCCGTCCGTCACCCCTCCACACCATGGAAGTGTTCCGGAGCCGCCTGCTGGGGATCTCCGTGGCCGTGGCGCACGGGGTCTTCTCGGGGTCCCTGAACATCCTGCTGAAGTTCCTGATCAGTAACTACCACTTCACCTTCCTGACCCTGATCCAGTTCCTGACCAGCTTCACGGCCGCGCTGACCCTGGAGGTCCTGAGGAGGCTGGGCAGGGTCCACATCCCCGCCTTCAGCCTGCAGCTCTCCAAGGTGAGGAGACCCCCCGGTGTTCCCCTGGGACCCTCAACAGGTTTCTGCGCAGTTGAAAGCTTTTCTTTGAGTTTTTATTTCAATTTGATTTGAAATGTTTTTAACTGAAGCGGGAAAAAAGAGAAACAATCACCTGATCAAGCAGAAAAATGAATCGGGACTGAAATGTTGCTCAGAACCCTCAAAACTCCGATTTATTTATTTATTTTTTTTTATTAAACGCTGTTTCTCAGAGGAACACAGAAAATGTGTCAGTTTGAATCAGATCAAGCTTTATTCAGTTTTATTAATCAGTTCAAACATCCTGATCGCTTTTGTTTATTTATTTATTAATAAACAATAATCATGTCTGTAAACAGGACAGATTTTAATCCTGATGGTTTATTATTTATTAACCATCAGCAGGTGAAGCAGTCAGGTTTATTACAGAACATCAGATGAAAGTTTCGGGGGGAAAAAACAAATATTAAGATGACGACCAACTGGTCTTTAAAAACCTTTGCTGTGGTAGTATCTGAGAGTCATCCAGTCGACGTGCTGTGAGAACAGCAGGAGCTCAAAGAAAATAAAACTTGAACAAAACGTGGCGGCAAAAACTCCAGACAGGAGAATAAAATCAAACTGGAACTGATGAGGTGAGTGTCTGCAGCTGAGACGGATGAGAATAGAGAACAGGTGTGAGTGGGAGGAGCCGAGGGAGACGCGCACAGACCGGTTTCTCTGACTGTGTGTGTGTGTGTGTGTGTGTGTGTGTGTGTGTGTAGGAGTTTGCCTCGGTGTGTATCCTCTCCACGCTGCAGTCCACCCTGACCCTGTGGTCCCTGAGGGGTCTCAGCCTGCCCATGTACGTGGTCTTCAAGCGCTGCCTGCCCCTCTTCACGCTCTGCATCGGCGTGTGTGTGCTGAGGAACGCCATGCCTTCCCTCGGCGTGGTGACCGCTGTGCTCATCACGACTGGAGGAGCCGTGATGGCTGGTACACACACACACACACACACACTTTTTTGGTCCGAATCACAGTTTAATTGTGCGTTCACACCTCTGCAGACGAACCAGATGTTCCAGGCGAACAGACTAGAGTTTGATTAAAGCGGACTACACAGGGCTGGTACACACACACACACACACACACACACACACACACA